GATACAAAACAGGACAACACGGTGTCTCAATTTTGAGGCGTGTCATCAAGGAGGGACTAAGCCCTGCTGACCTAGCTACCGTAATCCACTCCCGGTTCAGTCTGCGTGACTGCGTTTGGAAAGCTTTTTCACTGGATGGTCGATAGAGAGAGGTATCCCTCAAATGATATTCGGTGATATCGTGGTCAAGATCACGAGGGATTACTACGAACTCTCCCCCTTTGTCACTGACGGACAGACGTATGGTATGAGAAGCTATCAGCTCTCGCAGCTGCCTAAGACCATTCACTTGCTCACGGGTGAGATTTGATGGCATGCGTTGCTTTCGATACCTACTGAGCACTTTTAATACGTCATCAGCGAAGATGCGGAAGCTGACATCGGAACTGACGTTAGGCTCCTGCTGTTTGAAATACGTGGGAGGGAAGGGCACAATGGCACATTGCTCGTCTGGACCTGGAGAGATCCGTTATCAGTCTTAGCCTTATGACGGAGTCGATCTTGGAGCTCGTGCAAACTGCACATGACTTTGCGGAGAACTCCCGTGGAGATGGGCTGAGATGGTGAAAAACTAGGACCCAACTCCAGGATGGAGCGCGCGCAGTCAGATAAGGAGAAGTCTCCCAATACGGTAACCCTGGATTGGGAAAAGCCCGATTGCTCTGTCGTGCCGGTTGTTTGATCTACGGAGCCCCGACCAGTCACGGTGCGCCGCGACCCCACTTTAAGATTACGTGATGTGCTGCAAAGACTATCGAACTTCTTTTGTAAGGTAGTTTTGACGTTAGATCGAATAAGATCACAAATCGACTTCGACCCACCCCTTTCGATACACACTTTCTCAGCATGGTAAACATGTGATTACGTTTAGCACGTAGAGCTGCTCGAAGCAATTGCAATTCAATGTCCAACACTTTGGGGTCGCCCTAGGGCTGCCTACCAGATCACATAGATGTTTTCTAGAAATAAAATTAGGTATTACACGATGATCGAGGCAGCGACGAAGGAAATAGATCGATTGTCGAGCTGAGACAATTTTTTGCCTCAGAGATAGAACTTCTTTGACGAGCCGGTGATACTGAGTTGGCACGTTGCGTAGTAAACGCCATGTACGGCTCTCCATGAACCTCGGCATTGTGATGATAGTGAGATATCCTGGTTGAACTCCACACGAGGTTGTTAATTAACCTTTATTGGCCTACGTTTCGGCGGGATCGCCTTCTTCAGAGCCTGAAAGGATCGAAGCAATTTATGACTACCCGACCAAACGTTTCCACTACCCTACTGAAGTTCGAGTACATTACAGGCCATCACCTAATCGTAAGAGGGGGCACTCACCGCAACACAGTCCGATCTTCGAGACCAGCGAGCCGGCAGTAGGACCTCCTCGGACTGTTCCTCATTCAGGGTCACTCTTGGAAGGCCATCCTTATATAATCAGCTCCCGCGTTATTGTGACGCATTCCCCCCTCCGGTTCATTTTTGGATTGCTGACCTCAATCCAAAATGCCTCGAGGGTTTTGCGTGCAGATGTCTGCGATTCTCGCGCCAAGACCCTGACCTCGACCCCAAAATCGTCCCCGTCATGGACTTGAACCCTGTGGGCCCCTAAGGCAGTCGACAAACGTGACCTACTTTTGCCGTCCAGGTGCTCCTTCACCCTCACGCTGATCGGCCTCGATGTTTCACCGATGTACTCATCCCCGCAACTGCAACAGGTGATCTTGTAGACCACCCCCGAGATGGTACAGTCGCCCTCCCTGCCAGTCGGGCAGACTACGCAATTGGGGGTTGTACATAGACGATCATATAGCCGATTCCTAACCAGGCGACGCTTCAGATTAGTGGGTGGCACATTTACAATGACCACTGTGCTTTCCAAGCCAGACCTCCCCAAGCACTTCCTGATGGAAGTGCTGACTTCCTCACAGACGTAGGGTAAAATGAAAGGGACTTTTCCGTCCAGCAAATCACCACCACGTCCGCTATTCGCGCCACTATTTCTGGCTCTATGGGAGGTCGCTGGGGCTTCGTAGCCATTGAGGGCAGCAATTGCCAGCTTTAAGGACTCCTTTCGCTCTTCCTCTCCCGAACAACTTCGCCGCTGTTTGACGATTTTGACCTTCTTATTGGGCTATGTTGTAGCGGCAGATTTGAGAGTGCACAGTTTATGAGGTGTTCCTTACTATGTATCAAAAAGAGAGCAAAATAAAGTCAAAAAGAAAGTGCATGGAGAGAAGTAGTACCGAAGTTACTTCAACGATTCCCGCAACAACTGTTTCGTGGTCGACGGATGGCGGAGTGGATAGTGCGACGAGCTCTCGGGAAGGTGGTTTATGGGTCGGATCCTCCTGGCGCCAAACTTTTTGCATTTTTCGGTTTCCGTCTCTGTGTTCCTGCGTGCGTGATGATGTATATAACATGGATATATGCCATTTAAGACCTCATTCTATACACTCATAGTTCACGAGTCGACCCTACTTAACTATTGCGCTCTCGAAACATTACTGAGGAAACTCTTGCTGAAAGTTGGGCTACGGGGATGACTGGATGCCCTACTCACGAGTACGACACTCATTTTTGACCACGGCGCAACCCGATTTGCTGCAAGAGCATTCTTGCACTGAAATCGTTGTCAACCCGCACGCAGGGGCTGTTAAGCGCCATGCTGGCGTCAAATGGCCTCGGCGCATAAAATAAGTGTCAGAATCGTGAGCGGGGCTACCAATTACTCCTGTATACGAACTTCCAGCAAAAAAAATTTCGGAGGTTTTGGTGATAATGGACCGACCACTTGGTTGACAGTGGCACCCGATCAGCGCACCCAGCGTAACTGGTTCCACTTTAACTTTCCAGGTGTAGATATTGTGCAATACATATATGTCCCTTTTTAAAATTTGTAGTTGTTAGTTATGAGGGTATATACTAGTAAATAGAAAGGTCCAGGTATCGAAGTTGGATAACTACTTGTACAGGATACTGATACCAGTTCAACAAGACCAACCATCATAGCTCGAACAGCTCGAGGAGAAAAATTTCGCTGAAAGTCTGTATATAGAGGTTATTAACGGCCCTGATCACGGTTCTGACCTTTATAATTGGCGCCTAGGCCATTTGGCGCCAACATGGCTCTGAACACCCTCCCCGGGTGGGATGCTGCGAGAATCACTTGAGAAACTACAATGCTGCCTCACTGTGTGCCAAATAAAGTACTTTTTCACCTTGACTTGTATTGTTTTCGATGCAGTGTCGACGAAGGTCTCATTTGCTATGCATACTCGACATTAGAAATAGAAAAGAGCCTAGAAAAATGGTTCAAAATCGCTTTTCCTCAGCAAACTTTTCACTCATTTTTTGACTTCCCAGAAATGCATAGCAAAAACGAAACCCATTTTTGTGATCCTTATATGGACCCCTACAACATGCAACAAACCATTTCTAAAAGCGCGCTATGACCTGAAAGACCTCCCTTGTTAGGTAGCGTTCATGCACGCTACGAAGAAAGGAAGAATCTGCAGGAAAAGGAAACTATACTCATACATTTGAAGCAGTGCCGAATCCGCAGAATCGCCAGATTAGGCGGAATTGCGACAAGTGCCCAAATTGACAGTAAAGACTCCATAGGAATTGGTCGTTTTGGTCTATGGCTTTGGAAAAATGGCGGTTCCGCGCAACCTTTCAATTCCAATGAATTGAGACATAGAATCTAAACAAAACGTAGCATTTCTTTTCTTCTTATCCAGCGCTCTCCGTTAACTTTTTGTGTATGATGCGTACCTAGAGTTTCTAGATCAGAGGCGTGTACGGTAGACTTTTTCGTATTTATCCGTTCAGTCCCAAAACAATGGCTAATCATCGGTTAGTTGCGTATGGCACCCTACCCACTTCCTTAGCATGAAAGTGCGAAAAGCCAAACGCTGCGCTCATACTTTACGACAGCGCCCACCACCGACCATCAGCGTTTCGAGCGTCCGTCAGCGTCAACGAAGAGGAAAGTAAAGATATTGATCTAGCGAACAGCACGTCCACCAGTGTCCGTCGGCGTCCAGCATTGGAGAGTATGGGGCAGTAGGTAGTAGACTGCTCGATTGGCCGTCGCGAAATTGCGGCGTGTGCGACTGCTCCGTACAGCTGCTGAAGCAATTTCACGATGCCTACTCTAGCTGTCTGATCCCTCCTACTTCCCATTCTCTACCAGCGGTCTGCTATCCTCCTACTTCCCTACACTCTCACTCCTGGACGCTGATGGACGCAGCCGTTGGCTGAATCGATATCTATACTTCCTAGTCGCTGGCGCTTAGGGACGCTCGAAACGCTGGTGGGCGCAGCCGCAAAGTATGAACGCAGCTTAAGGGATTTTTCTGGCAGTGAGCTTAGGTATTCCCTCCGTCCCTCCCTCCTTCCCACCCCTTTCTCACCTTGACAAAACCGATTCTGCCCGCACGTACCGAAATACTCGAAACTATGCTACAACCGGTGATAGAATTCTTTTGAATCTTCATACTCCGATGCGCAGAAAAGAGGGGAATTATATTACCTTACTCAGGAAAAAATGAAGAAATCGCCACCAATATAATCTATCGTGATATAGCCCTCCGATACAACATTTGACACCAGTTCTCGGTCATTTTGTGTCTCAATCGTGATTATTAATGAGAGTGATCGGTCGCGTACGCGTCACGAACAATACTGAAACATTGGCTTGACAAGAAGGAAATCACAATCAATTGTTTGAGGTGCTATAAGTAGTAGGTAAACTGAGGAAGTTGGAAACCTGACCACTGTAATCCTATCGAACAACAGGAAAGACATGATACTGCTGGAAATTCATTTCTATTTTATAGGTCGAGGACAGTACCTAGCATCCCGAATACACCAAAACAATTCTTTGAATCAAAAATGAAATTCTTTGAATCACAACATGAACCGTAAGCGTCTCATATAATATGCTCAAGTACAAGTATAAATACAAAGAGCAAATATTTTAGAGCAAATATTTTCTATTTGCTATCGATAGCCTTCATTTCATTAGCACTTAGTTTGAGTGCCATTCCCATAGCTTTCAAAATATTCTTCTTAGCAGACGAATTGTTTGATTGAATGAATTGGACGAAAATATTCCGCAAATATTCCATTTCGCCTCCAGTAGTGAGCAGTGCTAGCTTATCTGGAAATTATCTTCAGAAGACGAACAAAAACACAAGATCTATGTGAATCTCCGACAACAGGCTGAAGCCTAAAGAGACTACAAAAACAGCTTACTTTGCAGCTTTGTGATTTCTTCACTCATAGCTTCAGTTGTTTTGTGATGTTCGAGTTCCTTCACCAGAGATGCCTGTTCAACTTCTCGGAGCCGGTAATCGAGTTGATGTGAGATGCTCCTTGAATAAAAATTTTTGACGCATTACAACAACGTCGAAAGTCAGCACTATTCACCCTTCACTGCCCCAACCTTCCGAAAGCAGGCTAGTATTTACCGACTCTCGTCTTCGGGGGCAGATTTGACTGATAAGTTGTCTCCTGGGGTAGTTCGACTCCCTGAACACAAATATCACATCCGCTTGGCCGGAAACCTCTTCGTATACACTCCGCAGATGCCGGGCCGAAACACCCAACATCACCAAGTTCACTGGGAACTTGTTCCCAAGAGTTTGACCTTCCGGACAAGCTAACGCATTCGCTTGACCGGAAACCTCCTGGCACCCTTAAAACTTGTCCTTGGGGGTATTATCACTTTCAACACGAATATCACATCTGTGTGAGTGTTGAGAAAGTTAAGGGCGGAATAAAGGGGTATACTTGATAGCGATCCCGCGAGATACTGATCCCTTTCTCTGCTAAGGCTGAGCCTTGATAAAGTGAAGGATCACTATCATTGGCGACCAAAAATGGTGCTTCCTTTTCACCCTGTCACAGACCAAAGTGATGTGTTATTTGTGTTCGGGAGGTCAAAATACCTTGAAAGAGAGTTTTCAGCGAATTTGGTGATTCAGATGCAGGCGGCAAGAGCTTTGGCTAAGCTTTTGCTATCCCTTGCTCTCGGAGAAAAAAGTCGGTCAGAAACTGGCCTGATTTCTGATGACTGGAGGAGCAAAGGATAAGCAGTGCAAAATTCTAAACATAACAACAGCCAAAAGTCTAAATTAGAGCTCAGCAGACAAAACCGAAGGAAAAATCGATTGCTCGAGAACGATACGGGGGGTACAGAGTTGACTCTTAATCCGAAAACAGGTAGACACCGCGTTTGGGTCTAGTGGATCACCCTCAACCTACACTACAACATCAACATGCTGGAGCCTAAGAACACACAGTACACTCGTGTGCGAAGTTAAGCATTCCCACAGGCAAGGCGGACATGCCTGCAACTGTATAGGGTAACATTATCACCTTTTAGTATGGGTGGAAGTGAGGTTGGAGGTGTGATGTGGTGTGTTAACCAGATCTCCTTTTGAGTGTTCTTTCTTCCTAGCTACTGAGATTTTTGAGGCGAAGGTGGCGTAATGGCGAGGGTTACGCTTACCACACGCGCGATCCTAGGATCAAATCCTGGACTGGCCCTAGAATCGCACGCGTGACATCCAACCCCGGGTAAATGAGCCTTCTACCCTCGCAGGGAGGCATCGCCCGCTACACGCCGTATACGAGACTGGAGAAGAACTGTTCCTCGGAACATGCGACAGCAGAGGCGTTGGCGGTGTGGGCGTCCTCGTCAACACGCACTTGGCCATGAACATCGATTCGTACGAAAATCTGACGACCCGAATCGGACGTTTGCGATTGAGAAGATGTGGTTCAACTCCAGCTTTGACAATCTTCGTCGCCTACGCACCAACATCAAGCTACGACGAGGATGAGCTCGAAGCGTTCTATATGGAATTGGAGAAGTTCTACAAGGAAGATCATACCTTCTTCAAGGTCATCGTCGGTGATTTCAACGCTAAGATCGGACCAAGAAGAACGGCTGAAGAACTTCACATCGGAACTCACGGAATGGAGTGGAATGAGCAGGGTGAAAGGCTGTCTGAGTTTATCATGTCGACCCATACCATCCATGGTAACTCGCAGTTCCAGAAGCCCTACTCTCTACGCTGGACATGGGAGTCTCCTGGTGGACAATTCCATAACGAGATCACATCATCTTCAATCGAAGGTTTTGCCTGACCGATGTCGCTGTTGTCCCTAAGTTCTACACGGGATCCGACCATCGTCTCCTTCGCGCAAGATTCCGCTTTTCGATGCGAGGAGAGAGAGCCGCAAAGTTCAAGAAGCGAAGCCCAAGACCTTCATCAACTGGGATCACTTCACTTCTCTCGCTGGGCTCTGGGAGGATTCCGTCATCGACAACATCGACGAGGAATACGAACGGCTTGTCGCACATCTTCACGACTGCGCCAAGAAGTCAGAGAGTTCCAAGATTACCAAGAAGCGTCTATCTCTGGAAACTCTCGAGCTGATTCGCCAACGTGGAGCCACGAGCCGCAGGCAATTACCAGCTGACGTCTGAGCTTGCGAAGCTATGCAGAGAAGCGATAAAGGAAGACCTCAAGGAGAGAAGAGCAGCAGTACTGGTGGAAGCCGCAGAGGCTGGGAAGAGCATACGCAACGCCCGCCGCGACTTCGCCAACTGTAAGACCAAGATGACCGCCCTCCGACGTCCGGATGGAACAATCACCGCATCCAGAAGGGCAATGGAGAAGGTCATCCACGACTTCTACTCGGATCTCTTTGACAGCCACGTCCACCTGCCACCATACCGCTTGGAGCAGGATGGATATGTCGTTCCTGCAGTTCTCCCTTCCGAAGTCCGACACGCCATCTCGTCGGTGAAGAATCGTACGGCACCCGGTCCCGACAGGATCAGACCCGAACATCTGAAGAATCTTCCGCCAGTTGTCAAAACTCTGGCTCTACTCTTCATGCGCTCTTCACACGAGTCATCCTGAACAGGATTGGCAGAACACTAGACGAAGGACAGCCATGCGAGCAAGCAGGGTTTCGAAGAGGATTCAGCACGATCGATCACATCCACACGGTAACGAAGCTCATCGAAGTATCGCGAGAGTACAAGATGCCGTTATGTCTCACGTTCATCGACTTGAAGAAAGCCTTCGACTCCGTTGAGACAGAAGCGGTTATCGAAGCCCTGGGCAACCAGGGTATTCCTACTCAGTACATCAGGATTCTTCGTGAGCTCTACAGCAACTTCACGACCAAGATCTCACCATTCTACAAGGAGATCATCATTGATGTGAAGAGAGGGGTCCGACAGGGCGACACCATCTCGCCCAAGCTCTTCAGCGCCTCTCTCGAGAACGTCATGCGTCAACTGGAATGGGAAGACATGGGAGTGAAGATCGACGGTCGGCAACTACACCATCTCCGCTTTGCTGACGACATCGTTTTGATAACACCAAACATCGAGCAAGCGGAACGAATGCTGGCTGATTCGACTGCGCGTGTGGAAAAATCGGTCTACGGCTGAATCTAACGAAGACGATGTTCATGAGAAACGGATTGGTTTCTGATGCCCCATTCACGCTCAACGGAACGACCATCTCTGAATGCTCTAGCTATGTGTACCTGGGTCGTGACTTAGCACCAGAGCTGAGCAGGAGGAAGCGAGCGGCTTGGGGAGCCTTCAAGAACATCGAGGGAGTAGCGAAGAAGACGAAGAACACCCCACCTCTTCGATTCCGCGGTCCTTCCTGCCTTGACGTACGCCTCAGAGACTTGGACTCTACGAAAGCAGGATGAGCATGCGGTTGGCGTTATTCAACGCGCCATCGAAAGGGCGATGCTCGGAGTTTCCCGCTACACGCAAGTGAGAGAGGGAATCCGGAGCTCCGCACTCCGCCGACGATCGAAGATCAGAGACGCCGCCGCATTTGCCAAGGTTTCGAAGATCAGGTGGGCCGGGCACGTCATGCGTTTCGAGGACGACCGCTGGACCAGAGCGATCACCGACTGGATTCCACGGGATGTCAAGCGAACGCCTGGACGACCGCCTATGCGATGGTCAGACTTCTTCGTGAAAGCTCTGAACGAATGGTATGAAGTTCATCGTGTCCCTCGAGCAGAGAGAGTTCATTGGGCAACTCTTGCACGTTGCAGGGACGAATGGAGACGTTACTGGCGCCCGCTCGAGGAACTCGATGATCAACGGGAGCACAGGTGTACAGGTGGTGATACCCCCGGACGGTAAACTAGTGCCAGATTCCCCTGGAGGATAAGAACATTGACTCGTACTTTGGCTGACTCTAGGAATCATTAATAGACCATATGGCACTCAAGTAGAAGTAGAATGCGTGCCGCATCCTAAGAAGGGACTGATGAACTGCAAAGAATTTATCCTCAATTCTGAGATCTCCCGTAAAAACACATGGTACGATCACACATAGTTTGGGTGTGCGTGACTATCAGCCCCCAGCTGTCGAAGCGTAGCGGTTTCCCCGTCCTAACATGCGCAGATGGAGATACAGGACCGTGAAACACGCTAATTCCTCCATGCTCCGCCCAATGCCTTTTGCGGCGCAGACTCCCGTTTATGCTAACAGCCGTCCGCGCGGCGCGTGTCGCGCGCAGCGCTCTTGGCACTTTGCCAAGTCCTGTAATTGCGCTTTGAATACAAGTAAAACGCAATTTCCTGATGCGGATAACATTTGAGGTGCTGCAAAATAAGAACCGAAGATGATGACGAGGGCCAGAACTCAAGAGCAACTGTGCTGCTTCTGCAATATCCCCGCGCATTCCCACAAAACATGAAAATAAAAACGGCCTAAGCGTCCCACTCGTTAGTTTAAAGTATTTTTATGGCTTTGGAGCCGGAATCGCGCCGAATTGCAGAAATTTACACGCGATTTTAATTAATTTGCATTTCCTTAATTTTTTCATTTTTGTTTTATTTACATCTACATTCGTTGTTCTTCATTTCTAGCCTTTGTCATCTTCATCACCTTCTATTCGGACTTTGCAGCATGAGCAACACCTCAAATGTTATCCGCATCAGGAAATTGCGTTTTACTTGTATTCCAAAGCGCAATTACAGGACTTGGCAAAGTGCCAAGAGCGCTGCGCGCGACACGCGCCGCGCGGACGGCTGTTAGCATAAACGGGAGTCTGCGCCGCAAAAGGCATTGGGCGGAGCATGGAGGAATTAGCGTGTTTCACGGTCCTGTATCTCCATTCCTGCGCATGTTAGGACGGGGAAACCGCTACGCTTCGACAGCTGGGGGGGGGGGGGGAGGGGGCTGATAGTCACGTGCACCCAAACTATGTGTGATCGTACCATGTGTCTTTAAGTTAGTTGGTCATGGGAATAGCGGAATAGTGACCAACTATCAAAAACCCTACAGCTTCACTGCCATGAACTATCAAGTAACAAAACTGGCACCTTTTCACCTTCGGGCGCACCCACATCGCCGGTGAAGAAGGCTAGTTCAGATAAGTGTACAGAGTGTTCTCAAGCTCCCTGCACCACTAGCGATCGCCCATATCTCAAAAGGAAACTCCTAAGAATACTAAATATCGGTCCTCTTTTTCTTGCCTCAGAGTATGAGCAACCACCGCTAAAACATCGTGAAAATCCAAAAAAAAAACAGATGCAATGACCCACCTCATTTCTTGGATCTCGCGATCTTTCTTCAACAACTCTTCTTCATAGAATATGTTACGAGACTCATTTGCTACTGGGATGGGAACACCACTTCCATCTGGACAAGAAACATGCTTTGCTATTTTACAAGCAAGCAACTTCAAACGCTTTTCAATTAGTCAACCGTACCTGCATTAGCATCAGAGCTATGTACTGAAACTGCATCCATGCTTTTTCTTGAACCTGAAAGTGACCCAGTAGGAGAACTTCTTATGTGAACACTAGACTAAAATTTAATGCTCACCCGCACTGTACCTTCTATCTACATAACGTTTGTGTTCACTGGATCGCCTTTTAGACAGCGTGACTTTGCCTGCTTGAGCCGGATCAGCAGGAGCACTCATCTGCTCACTGCGAAAGGATACCAACACTGATCTAAATGTCAACGAGAAATGAATGGCGGTTCGGAGGTATTTCAAGTGCTAACCGGGAACGTTCGCAGCTTACCATGGGACTTTGAATAGATACCTAGGTACATCGATATGCTCTTTAATACTTACAAATACGGAAACCAAAACAGCTACCTACATATCGTAAGCGGGTTATGAGCTGTTGAAGTATGGTGTGATGCACATGCATTATCCCTATGGCACATAAAAAGACCGCCCAACGCGTTCACAAGAACGATTGTGGCGCTATGGTAAGTCCCTCCGTTGGGGAGCGGAAGCGATTGGGTTCGGTTCCCCCCTCTGCAAAACCTTCTGCTCCATCACCTATAAAGGCACTGATCCTCATTTTTCGAGTTTCCTCTGAAGTAGCTCTATATAGTCGAAATCAGGTCGTGTACTTGTTATGAAAACCGTCAAACAAAGGACAGCTGCAGCGGCAACTGGAACACCTACACGGACCACAGACCCTCGCCTGCAAAGTAGATTCGACAGTCTTGTCAATTTCACTACAAGTCTGCGTAATCGCATTCATAATACGTCTGCTAGCGCTATGCCCCACTTTTCGGGCGCTTTCTTCTTCGAAGATATAACATTCCATGAAACGGATTAGGAGCTACGCAATGATATGCTATATAAATAGAAACTACCCCATATTAACCCTTCACAAAAATTTTTTGATGTGACCCTAGGAATCTCCTTACTAGGTGGTTTGACCTTCTTAACACGGCTATCACATCCATTTAGCGTCCATGCTACAAGCATCCTGATGAGCAGCCCTAAATAAATTCGGGGGTTTCGCCTACTTATGACCCGCTTGTGAAATGCAGGCAGCAATTTTGTATCCCATATTTGTAAGCGTCATTCCAGATAAAATCACCTAGGTCTCCATTTAACGGTTCCATGCTAAGCTGACAAACTTCTCTTGTAAGCCTACATCACTGAAGGCGAGAAGTAGTACAGAACACTATCAGACGTGGGAACTGAAAAAAGTCAATCACCTCGCCGCTTCAAGCTCTCTCTCCTTCTCTGCTACAACATCTATAGTTCTACTACGCTGCTTTTGCATTTCGGCTTCCATTTCAGAAACTGTAAAATAACGACCATATATCAAGACATGAGCTACAGGATGGGCTGTAAAAGATTTCAGTTCAAATGGTACCAACTTCTATTATTCATCTCCCTTCTCATCTCTATGACAAGGCGTCCTTCCCTTTGCTCCAGCTCCGAAATTCGTGCATGAAGATCTCGTGTTGACTGAAAGTATACAGAAAAGCTAACATGAAAATTCTCTCATCATCAAAGGCTTCTTCGCCACAGGTCATTATCAGGGGAGAAAATAGGAGAAACTGGCGAGTTACAGCAACTGAAATGCGACATAGGCGCATTAGCGTCATTTCCCCATTGCTCAGGAAAGCCCCAGTCTTTTGTCTTTAGACGGACATTTGACAAAGGGCAACTTCGCCCGAATGTTAGGACCCTGTTTTATTCCTCAATGAATCGTTACTACGAGCACATCACCGGTGGTCTACAAAAAAACAATCCGAGACTGGAGCAAGAAATGCACCGTTAGCGACTATTCAGAAAAGGAGCGCTGTTTGACTCAAGAAGAGGGCGGTGTGGACGGTGGCTCCGACAGGGCGCTGTTCGGCGAGGGGGGATGGGGCGTTTTGCACTTTTGCTACTTCCCATCGACGTGTCGACCCATCTAGAGAGCCTTTTCGTGAGTTGACAGGTTTCACCATTGTGGCTCAATGAGCTTGCTCCAGCTTCACAGGAGTTCACAGGTTTCATCAGGTAAAGTATGCAAACCGGAACGCAAAATGCCCCCCCCCCTCGTCGCCGAACCGCGCCCTCCGCCGCTTTCGCTAGTTCCTATTAGGATACACGTCTACCACCACAGACTTGTGGGTTTTGCCAAAAGTAATGTAAAATTATGCTATAGCTTAGCTTTACAGAAATTGACTGGTCTTCTCAGAAGACATCGGCAGTGATCAATGGAAATCAGCAAGATGCCCCCACCAAGTCGAACTGCGCCCATAAAAGATTTCAAATCCTAGGACATTAGCAAGAGCCCCCCAAGTGGGATAAGTCCTTACTGAAAATCCTCTACACTGCAGGGAGGATGAAGAATAGGAGCAAAACAGATAAACACAGAACAACCACGTGTCCCCCCTTCCATCCTTAACATTTTTTTAATAATCCATACAGATGTAATATTTGTGTTCGGGAGGGCAACTGCAACTGGGAACGAGTTTCCGGCAAGTACGGTGATCTATTTCGGCCAGGAGGTCTTCGTACAAGCGAATGAGATATTCGTGTTCACGAGGTCAAAGTATTCTAGAGGACGAATTATTGGCCAACTCAAAAAAAATTCGGTCAAAAATTGTCCTGATTTCGGATGATTGGAGCAGTAAAGGGTAAATAGTGCCTAAAATTGTACTCAATAAAGAAATATTAGGTCGATGCACATGTTTTCAACCCCGACTTTTTTGTAAATTTGATCCTTCCGTATTTCGTTTGCATTGTTGGTATTTCGTCATCACGTGTGCGTGACGTGTACATGATACTCTTTCATCACACTAGCTATCACTCACCCACCCTGCATTTGCAGGCCACAATGCCGCACAATTACCACTGTGAAATCATGTCACAGTGGTGATTGTGCGGCATTGTGGCCTTCTTCGGGTCCCAGCCCCCGTCCTTCTGGGAGGATGGAATCGACAAGCTGCCTGAGCGTTGGCGTCGAGTAGTGGATGGTGATGGTGCACCTCTAATCTTCAGGCTGGTTCGCTATTGAGATATTTACAAAAAAGTCGGGGTTAAAAACATATGCATCAACCTAATATATCGACAGCACATCAAAGAATAATCTCACCTTTTCATGAACAGCTCTATCCTTAGCATGCACAGCAATCAACTTCTGAATTTTAGCCTGGAACTGTTCTGCTACAGTTCTTAGAGTTTCCTCTTTCGAGCCATCGGAATTGGGTGCAAACTGCTAAAAATAAAGCTCTACAATGGGATGGCCTCATTGTAGGAATTTCCGAGATCAGAAATGCTCTTAAAAAACCCAAAGAGTATGATCATATAAAAGTAGAGAAAAAGGAAAGATTGACTCACCGCATTACTGGCTGTGAGGATTTCCAGGCGATTTTTACACTGATCGTACTCTTCCTTCAGAGTCCGATACTCATGCTGGAATCTGATTTTCTCCTCATCTGGGCCAATTAGAGCTGGAATAAGATCATGGTGAATCAACCAATTATCTGAATCTATTGGAAAATTATAGCCCCAAAGTCTTACAGAAAATATTAAATCCAGGCTTTGTTTCGCGAACTTCTGCGATGATTGCCTGCAAACGAGTCACCACATCATCTTCTGTAGATTCATAATCGTCAAAGTCATTGTGCCGCCTTCGCAGTTGACACAACTCCTAAAAACAAAGTTTAAACTATACTGGGCTTTTGTTTTTAATGTGTTGCACGGACTGGGCATTCCTGACGAAAAAGAAATTGAACAAACACTGCTCAACACAGCCTGTTACATGTTTTGCGCCCGAGTTTTTCAGTATTACCCCTCCAAACAAGAGGTTTTAATTACAGGCTGGTTCGCTGCGGATGAAAAAGCGTGTTAGCGTGACTTCGCTTGGCGCTCCGTCAGGCTGCTCTCCACTAGCTGTTGAAGCGAGTAAGCAACAATATTCAGAGAAAAATGACTGATGCGAACGATATGATAGTCTCGTCGCAAAAAAAAGGTTGGCGCCGTGCTAAACGCAGCCGCGTTTACACTCCCACTATACCCCGCAGCGAACAGACTGTATTAATATGATTTTCTCATGACATATTAGAGTTCAGAAGATCAGCAGGCTCGAAACTGCTTGCACAATGTTCTTAATTTAATTTGCCTAAGAGGTTGTCAGGGAAGACTTACTGAAAATGGCCTGAGGTCCCGACTGGATCGTCCTCAGAGGCCAAAACATAGCTCAAACTTTAGATGTTGCACCCTCTGTACCGCTCAACGCCTCGACACCCTAGGCTTTCAAA